TCTTTTTAAAAACTTACTAATTTAAGTATGTTAACAGGTGTTAAACTTTACATGTGGACAATTCATTTAAGTAGATCTTGTATAAATGTAAGAACAAAGGGCAGACATCTTGTAAGAAAAGTGCAATTGCTGACAGGTATAGGGAAGCAGCTGAAGGCAAAACTGAAGGAAAAGGTCAGAAAAAAAAAGTAAAATGAGATATAAAAGCTGTTTAAAAAAGTGAATGAACGAACATTAAAAAAAAAGTAATAAGTATTTCATTTGGGAAAAAATTTGCTATTTTAAATTTTCCATAGGTAAGAATGATTTTCTATAATGAATGATAGGTTAAATAAAACATATTCAATGAGGTAAGTGGAAAGACACATAAGAAATTTAAGATGCAGCATAACAGCAGGAAAAAAAACAAAACGTTCTAGATGTGTACTAAAATATCAGCAAAATGTCCTGTGATATCAATACCGTGGTGATTGTAATATAATTATTCTAAGTAAAATTTGCAGAGACATACAATTTTTCATGGTTTCATTCAGATGGATGTTGATTATCCCTGACTCCCTTCAGTTTTAATATGAGAAAGATCAGTAGCAAAATGCTTTACTTCCACAAATAGTAATCATAACTACCATAAGAAGAGTTGAGGAGTACTATGGACTTCTAAAATTACCAAATGGATATTATCAGTAACATTATTACATTATTAATATCTGTCCACATACTTGATAGCATTCTCTAAGTTATTATATAATTTTTTAAAATGCATTACTTAAACACAATTTTCATTATCATCCTTTGAAATTCAAACAGTATTACTTAATATTTCTCTAAAGTGTCTTAGAGTATATTCATTATTTAAGACTGGCTCTTAGCCACTTCATAGTTGACAGCCTTAGACATATATCCTGCATAATTTTGGTAGAGTAGACTATTTTTCAACAAAATAGAAATTCAACAGTCACAATCTGAGTTTAGACTTATACACTTTTGCTTCTTCTTGTTACGTTTTTCCATTTGGTAAAACACTAGGGCATTATATTGTTCTGAGTTTGTCCCTTCCTGAAGCAAATAGCTTAACTCATATTGAGAACTGCATAGTGTAAAAACTTAATTTCTAAGTATGAACACTGGCTATGATTTACAAAATCACAGTGTCACTACTGCTTAGTCTGATTGGTTTCCTATATATGTGCTGACTTACAGTTATGATGATCTCTGACACATTTTGCTGAAAAAAAAAATTATCTATCTTCCCAGGTCAGTGCTTGTCATGTTTTTTTCAGAAAGTGTACTACTATTTATACAACATTATTAGTCTGGAGATGCACGGATGTGGTTCCTGTATAACTGAGTAAATTAATAATCCCCAGAGTTAGGCAAACATGACTGTAGTTTATAATATAGGCATAGAAAAGCCTAGAATATGTTGCCTCTGGGGACATCTTAAATTATACAAGGACTTAGGGGTTTTGAATGCTTAAAATTGCCTGCATAAATACAATACATTCTTTGGTGGTTAAATTGCGACATAAACAGGACCACTATGTTTACTTCTGCATTTGTTCCTTTGAAGTTAATATTTATTTAAGTACTAAATTCATTTTCCATAGTGAAATATAAAACACAACTCTTTTTTGTCCAATTATTTTTCTTTTCTCCAAGGTTTTTTTTATTACATTGCCTGAATGCATACTAAATTATGGCTACATAACAACTTTTAAGCAAATGTGAAACTGTAAGAACCAAACAGGGAATATATGATGAACAAGGTTCAGAAAGGTATGGAATGATCAAAGACATATGGGGGGGGGGTACACACACACACACACACACACACACACACACACACACACAAATAAACCCAGGGGAAGATCTAGAAATAAATATAGGGGAATCAAATCAGTGCAAACAGCAAAACATGTAAAATAAATTTTGAAGAAGAGACACTCTAGGGACCAACTCAATGTCTTTATACCCATTCTTTTTTTTTGAATCCAGACTCCATTAACTCTTTCTTTCACCCTTTGTTAGTTCATCTACAAAGACATATTAGATGCATATCACCTATGGAGAGAATGTTTCCCTGGAGCCTTCGCTTCTCCAGGCTAAACAACCCCAACTCTCTCAACCTTTCTTCATTGGAGACGTGTTCCACCCATCTGATTGTTTTTGTGGCCCTCATCTGCACCTGCTCCAACAGGTCCATGTCTTTCCTGTGCTGAAGGCTTCAGAGCTGGACGCAGGACTCCAGGTGGGGTCTCACCAGAGCGGAGCAGAGAGGCAGAATCACCTCCCTCAACCTGCTGGCCATACTACTTTGTCTGCAGCCCAGGATACAGTTGACCTTCTGGGCTGTGAGCGCACATTGCTGGCTCATGTTCAGCTTTTCACCCACCAGTACCCCCAAGTCCTTCTCAGCAGGGCTGCTCTCAATCCCGTCATCCCCCAGCCTGTTGATGTTGGGGATAGGTTGGAGAAGCGAAGGCTCCAGGGAAACATTATTGCAGCCTTCCAATACTTAAAGGGGGCTTATAAGAAAGATGAGGACAGACTTTTTAGCAAGGTCTCTTGTGACAGAACAAGAAGTAACAGCTTTAAACTAAAAGAGAGTAGATTTAGACTAGATAGGAAGGAAGGAAGGATGAAATTTTTCACAATGAGGGTGTTGAAACACTGGCCAGAGAGGTGGTAGTCTCTGAATGTAGTAGTAGTACAGTGAATGTCCCATTCTTGGCAACATTCAAGGTCAGGTTGGATGGGGCTCTAAGCAACCTGACCTAGTTGAAGATGTCCCTGCTGATTACAGGGGCTTGGACGAGATGACTTTTAAAGGTCCCTTCCAATGCAAACTATTCTATGATTCTATGAAATGTAGCTTAATTTATTGCCAATTAAAAACCTCAAGTAATTACTAATTTGGGTGGTGGTAAGCAAAAAGACATATATTATTAAAACAACAACTTTACTCCCTCCCTTCCCAGGTTCAAGTTCACTCCTTCACTCCCAACACCTTTACCCTCCATCCAAGTGGTGCAGAAGGTCGGAGGGGTACAGTCAGTACACACCAGTTGCTCTTTGCATCTCCTTTTTCCTCACCCTTTTCATCTGCTCCAGCCAGCGATCTCCATAGGCTGAAGTGCTTCAGGGTAAACCTGCTCCAGTCTGGTTTCCTCCCAGGCTGCTGTTGGTATCTGCTCAACCATGGAGCTTCTTCTCCATCCTTGGACTTCCCCGTACTGTTTCTTGCTCTTTTTGTTCACTGCTCTGCTCTCTGGCGTTTTATCTCCTTTTATGAATGCTTCCCCAGAGGTGACACAAGCACGGTTGAGAGGCTCAGCTGTGCCCTGTGGTGGGTCTGTTGGAACCGGCTGGAACTGGTTGTGTCCAGCACAGGGCAGCCCCTGGCCTCTTCCCTCAGATGCTACTCCTGCAGCCCCAGCTGCCAACACCTGGGCACCTGCACCCAGCACAAGAAGTTTCTCTGTTGTTTTTTTTCTCTCTCTTTTTTTTTTTTTTTAAATTCATTTTCACACACAAAATATATGTATCGGGCTTTGAAAACACTTGTTCTTTTCAGGACTGCAAATACAGTCAACAGAACCTTTCCGTTTGAAACTGAGCTGTTAGCTTCATTATTTCCATTCATCATTTCCCTTTTATTTCTCCATGTCCAGATGCATGTTCCCATTTCTATACACAGCTCATGTCGTGTATTATACTTAGAAGTGATTAGTAAGAACTCCAAATCACTATTTATGAGCATCATGAATATTTACAGAAAGCTAACAAATATTACAGAAAGGAGTTTGTGAATGTGGGCAAGACGCTTTTGAATGTCAGTCATATGATTAATACCGAAGTAACAAAAGCAACAATTATTTAACTGGAACTTTTCAGAGGATCTTGGTTTCATCCTTAGCATCTCAAGTGACTTAAAGCTACCATTCAAGCAAGATGAGCTTTGAAAACGGCCCTTATTTTCCAAAGCACCATGGTGAGGAAGCTCAATTTACAAATAGAACTAATGTAAAAATGGAAAACAACACAGAACAAAGGTGATGTGTGAGTACAATTGCTACCTTAGAAATGAAAGCATTCATAAGAAAAAGAAATAAAAATTAAGTAAAAATAAACAAGGCAGATATATGATTGTGGCCATATTCCACACACTTAACAGTTCTAGTGATCTCGGACTCACTTGAGTCAGAGAGAAAACACAACTCCTCATGTAAGGGTTTGTCCACATTTATAACTTTGCTAATATAAAATGGCCAAAGCAAACTAAGCATACCCACAAGCAAACAAAACACAGCTGAAAGCTTATTTTTAGAGTTTTGTCAGAAGATGTAATTATTTTTCTCATTTTCTACTTTGCTCCATATTTTGACATCATAACAAAGTTAGCTGGCAAGTATTTGCTTTCCTAAAAAAAGAATTCTAAGTTATACTGATATTCACTGATGATTATTTGAGAAGTACCATATATACTGATGAATATTTGGAAGAATGAGCAAAACAAACAATTTTACTACAATTTTGTAGTAAATTGTAATTTTGTAGTAAATTTTACTACAATTTTGTAGTAAAATACTTATTTTGGAGAAAATACCTTTTTACTGAGTTATTAGAAGATGAAGTTATTATTATGATCTGTTCATACTAAGTCACTATGCATTTCTTAAAATGTTTATTTCATAGATTTTTTTTTTTTCTTTTTTGAAGTTTGAAGACACTATAATCCTGAATGTATAATGTTGACTGTATTTTGGGCTGCAATTTTGTCCTCGTGTGTTTTAATTGCTCTATTTATTCTTTTAAATGATTGGTCTGTGAAAAGTTTTCTGTGAAACACAGCAAAATAAAAACAGACTGAGTTTGTCAGGCATTTAATTTCCATTTCTTTTCTTTGAAACATCAGGAGTATGGGGTTTGTTACACATCACTTTTCTATTGTTTATGAAAAGTTTTGATAATAAACTGTTCAATAGAGCTCTGTTACTTACATTGATATCTTCCAAATCCAAACTATTCAGAACAACATTGTTCCTCTTCCAGATGATGGGAGGTCTCAGCATTCCTTGGATCGCACAACTTAAGACAACACTTTGTCCCACTGTTGCTGCAGTGATACTTAGCTGTTGATCTTCGGGCAGACTCAGCTGAACTACCTCTGCAAAAGACATATTGTTTATGAGATTAGTTAGCATGCAGTTTCACAAGGTTAATTAGCATGCAGGTTTTGTACAGTGGTAATTTAAGGATTTTAATTGGAATCAAAGTAAAAAGAACTTCCAACCACCACAGGAAGTTCAGAGTATTTCAAATAAATATCATCATGACATTTCAATTAAATTGACTGACAAGTATCACACTGTAAGAAGAGAAGCATCTAACATAAAAATGAATTTCAGAGGTATGACTGTAGTAAACATGACAGTGCATCCAAATTCAGACACCAGAAGTTATTTGACAGTTAAGGCCAATGCAGTAGAATAGTCAGCACCTTCATCTGAACTAAGACAGCAATACTGCTGTAAAAGTCATTCATATGAGTTAATTTTCAGAAAAAAAAAAAAGGTAAAAGGAGCTCACAGTACAAAACATACAGGACCGAGACTGTAATGGACAACAAATTGAATTCTGCATTCAGAATATAAAATTGAGATGTAAGATTTCTTTTCTGACAGGCCAGTTTTTATGGGGCTTTTTCTTTAATATTAGTGAAAACATGGTTTCCAGATCAAACTGACATTACTAATCTCTCCCATTTCAGTCTCAGAAGAATATGCATTAATCATAACACATTAGCTAATGCCATTTTAAAAAAACAGTGTTAAAATAATTTCTACTACATTCTACTACATTTCTCAGGTCAAACATAATTCCTTTTACAACAACTGCAGAAAGTCAGAGCCAGAATAATAGAGTTGTGTACTTGAATAAATCTCTCTAAATACAGGGGAAAAAAAAAAAGAGGGAAAAAAAATTTAAAAAGCCAGAGCACTTTATAGCAATAATTCTGGAACTGTTCTGCCTGCCAAGGAACAGAAGCAACAACTAGGATGGACTATAGCGCCTGATAGAAATTAAGAGTACAATAGTGTAAAACAGTTAAAGACACACTTGAAGTAAATGCTGTGCATCACCTGAGATATTGTGAATTATCTTAATCCACAAATATTTGCCATCTGTTTTTTTCATTTACTCTGTAACACAGTAGAAATTGCTAGTGCTGATAAGCTATTTCGCAAGGCTTGCCGAGCCACTTTTAATTTATTTAGTATTACCTGAAATACCCTAATGTAAAACACCTGTAAATCAGTAAATTTAGAGGCAGCAGTTTCAAAAGCGTGTCATACGCATGTGTTTGGGGTTGGAGAGCATGTGTTATTTTTTTTCTTCAAGATAGACGAATTGCTTAGCACATCTAAAAGCAAAACCAACAGGAATACATGCAAACACACATGTTCCCCATGGATGTATGTATATGAGAAAATTCAAGCAATATGAGAAATTTGAGGAACATAAAATTACTTTTTCACATTCACGGTTATTGTTTAAATCATGAGAAAACTTCAACAATGCTCTTGAAAAGTATCCAGCATTTCTAAAATTAATGCCAGTGCAGCAAATTCAAACTCACTTAATATCCTGTGAGAATGAAAACAGCTTATGGCATGGTATCTGAAACATCTAAAAAAATGTGTGATTACAACACAATTTTTTTTTTTTTTTTAAAGTAAAGAATATCTTAATGAAATTAAATTCAGTATGAATAAATATGCTGGTAAATAAAGACCATACAGGAAAATTATTTTTATATTTAATTTAAGGAAACCTTTGTCATACAATTTTGGAACAAATCTGTGTGATGCAAAAATAAGTAAATAAAATTAATACCAGGAGAGAATTACTCTCAACCCTTTCAACTTAACACTATGGAAAGTACACCTTCCCCCTATTTTTCATCGCCTCTGGTATTTCATATTACAATAAAAACAATGCACGTCTTCAGTCACTACCTTTGTACCACAACACAAACTAAAACAAAAGTAGCTGAACAAATTTCAACAAGAAAAAAATAAATTATGTGAACATCCATGTTCATTTGAATCCAAGAGAAAAAAAAATATCTAATTTTTCAGGTTAATTAAAAATTCATCATTATTCAAGTTTCCAAATAAGCTTTAAAAAATTTGACATGTGTGATGGAGTCCAGACCTTGAAACTTTCTCCACTAATCCATGTGCAAAAAGCTCTAATATTAAGCGGAGATCACTTCACTTCTATGTCCCACAACTTACTTGGATACTTACTTAAAAAGAAAGTGAGTGATACATGTTAATTTGATGATATTGTATACTCTTCCCTCTGGTGTAATTGCCCATAAGTGAGAGGCTGAACAGCTGAGAATTGTTCTTTCATTTGTGGTGTGGCCAATTAAATATAAACTATTAAGAGTCTACATTTGTAAGGATTTTGTCATATTAGACAGAAGAGCTATATAGGAGTTGAAGATCATCCAAATAGCAATTTTTGCACCAAATAGCAATTTAGCAACCCAGTTGCTAAAGCATGAAAAATCTCTAGTTTTTTTTATCTTTCATTTTTAAGTAAACTACAAAAGGCATTTGTATTCTATTCTATTCTATTTCTATTCTATTCATATCTATTCTCTTTTAATTACCAAATTACTTTCATGTAAGAGAGATGTTAATTCTTTCATTATAGCAAAGCAGCAACCTATAAGCAAGCTAAGATCCTTTATAGGTACTTTTTAGCTTCATAAAATCATACTTTGTAATTAACACAATTAATTTTCCCCAAAATGCAAGCATCAGAGAGGCATCTCAATATACTCAGGAATGAAAGTTTTGTTGTTCTATAATTGAAGTCAATGATTCTGTAATTTTGTGTGATTAAAAACATTAATTTTGTATTTAGACCGAAAGAAGACCTGATTTTTTTCTTTTCCAGAAAGAATATTCTATGACTCAAAACTCAAGTGGTATGGCTCACCAGACATGTTCAAACAAGATTTTCTAACTAGATGCATTATCTGACACAATTTGTTACACTAAGGAAAAGGAAATGTATTAATTAAGTTGAATATTGTGCTATTTAGTGTAGGTTTTGAAATTTGCTGCATCCAGCTGAAGTATTTAATCTCCTATGTTATAGGAGATGGTTCTTCAGTGACACTATCATGCAGACTTCCTGAGATATAGCTTCATGGATACAGGATGATTCAAAACTTCTGGTAGAGACTTGATAGTACTAAGATTTTGCACCTTTATAGGCTCTACTATGCAAAGAAATGAAAAGGTAGATAAATATTCTGATACTCCATTTATAAGGGGTATTTATCTGTGTTTTCAGAAGTCACTATTTAATTTAGGAAAGTCATGAAACAATGATCATGAAATCATGATGATCATTTTTGTAAAATTGAGAACAGTTGTCCTACCTGGAACTGGTCAATGCATTGATGTTACATATTTCTCAAAAGTTGTGAAAACACAAACACTCTGGTAAATGCACTAGAATCACTGCTTTACCTCAAATTATTGAACATCATTTAAGTAAAAAAAACCTTAATATGTTACACAATTAGGTATATTTTAAATTATTAGTTAATAATAAAATATTATATATAGGTTACACTATAACTTTTCATATTTTCTAAAGATCATAATATTGCATTTGTTTTCTCCCTATTTGGAAAAAAAACCCACCTCAACCCAAAAAGCTCTAAGCCTACAGAGCTGCACCTGAAGCAGAGTTCTTTGACAAGTAACTCCCTGAAAATCCCTGTTCATGAACTGTCTGCAGCCAGGGTGGAAGAGGTGGCGGGAAGGGCGTGGGGTGTACAAAGCATTCTCAGATGCACAGACAGCACCTCTCAGAGCCCAGGCTCCATGACATTCCTTTGGAAACAGAAAAAATAGATCCAAGAACTAAATTATGCATTTACTGTCTTTTCTTTCCCCCTATGAAAGAAAGAAACCTGGTTCTGAGAGCAAGTACTTTTTTGCCAGAGGCTGAAGCCATAGTACTGGGAGATATCACCGCTAGGATGACTCCTAGATTTCTCTCTATGTTGCCCTTGTAAAGCAATGATAATTTTTTGAAGTTTAGTCTCACACATTTTGTTTATTTAATTTTAAATGAATTTAAATGAAAAAGCAGAGTAAAGGTTTAGAAAAATTGGAAGTGAAATTAATTCAATTTACTAATACCATCATGAATCAAAAAAAAAAAATTGGATATTGTTGGTTATAAAGTAGTAGTATTATATATAAGTAGCCAGTAGGTTTTACCTTTTCTAGCTTGCCAAGCGTGTACACTCTACTACAGTATACTGTATTAGTGAGTTTGTTTGTAACTCCTGCAGATGCAATACCAGTCTGATATGCATCCCTGGTTCTTAAGTACAAAAAGTCACTGGATATGTTCTTTCAGATAAAGGAGAGAAAGGCAAACAAAAAAAATGAAAGAAACCCATTTAAATAAAAACTACAGATATAGTAAGGAGATGTGAACAACAGAATAGGTTACCAAAAGCTGTGTGATGATATCTGGTTGGAAGTAACATAAAAAAAAGTGATTATAAAAGAGGACAAAAGTGGTGAAACCAGAGTGTTAACTACTGGGAAGACATTTTAAAACATTAACACTTACCAGGAAAAAAGAACTCTTACTGATGGGGCTCAGAAATACACAAGATTAAAAAAACCAAACCTTAATGGTTTAAACATAAGACAGTCCTGCATTTGTTGAGAAACCCGTGTGGTTGAAAGTGTCTGACAAAACTCCTGGCTGCTACAGCCATTCTACAAACTCCTCTACTCTTCATTCTGTTTAATGGTACCAAGTCAAGTTCATCTGTTTCCTTCCATCATGTTTTCTGTTACTGAAGACTGTATTCAATTACACTGTATTCAATCCAGCTTGAATTCATCCTTCTTGAAAACAATGAAAGAAAACTGTACACAATATTTTCGATTTAAAAAATGCTGTGTATCAACTAATCCGTATCTTTTCCTGAAAGATTTCAGTCAATAATTCTGTAGAACGTAATTGCCATTTTCACAGTGATTTCATCTAGTTCCTCACAGATACCCTGTGATTGACAGGTCCACAAAACTTTCCTCTACTCTGCTCTTTCCA